TAACCGCTCAAATCAATAAGCATTGATGACAACAATTTATTGTTACTCTTGAAGTGATTTTTATTTTGAAATGCTAAAATGTTAAGTTAAATAATTTGATTAAATTTATCTAATATAAATATTTTAAATTATATCATTTATGTTATTAAATAAAATTAATCTTTTGAGTTGATTTTGAAATAAAATCAAATCTAACATTTTGATTATAAATATTTATTTGTTAGCTTAACAATTATTTTGAAAATCCACCCCATTTGTTTTAATGTTTTATATCAATTTTCCTTCTCAAAATTAAAAATTTTAAAGTGAATACTATTAATCAAATGGATTTTAGGAAACTATGTAAGCTTTTAATTTTGGGAAAAAGGGATTATCCCTTGTAAATGAAATTTATCAATTTTCTAATAGAATGATTCAAAGAGTTGTTAGTTATACTAAAAAAGATTGATCCTCTTTAAAAAAATCGATTACCCAGATAACTTGTTACAAGCCTAAAATTTAAACAATCGAACTCTATTGCTAATAAAAGATTCCTTTTTCCTTTAATTTCTATCTCATTTACTGCAAAAAGATCTCTAACTATAAAATAGATCTCTCTAACAGTATTCACATCATTTTAAGAACATTCAATCAATTCTTCTAAGCAATATAGGAGCTTTAAGTGTTTATTGCTTTAATTCTTTTAATTTTTGTATCAAAATCTTATTCATTCTTCATTTCTCTTGCATTGTACTAAATTATCAAGCTCCTAATCTTTATGAGATTTTAGTTTGCAAATTCATGTGTAAAACTTAGAATTTATTAAGGTTTAGAGGTTTCTGTCTCCATCATTAAGAAAGAAATTTAGAGATTCTTATTTTAGCCTAAGTGGGAGTTTGAATTTCATCACACTTTCAATATGATGCAATTGAACTCACTGCATTACTAATTAAATCAAAATACCAATACTAATAATATCCATTCAATATAAATTTTCTTGTATTTTTTTTTTCAATCAGAATTACAATAATTTTTTTCAATCGTAATTATAATAAATTTTATTATTATTTTTAATATCATTGGAATCAAAATCTCACTATCCATCTAAATAAACTCTAAATTAAAAGTAATCTCAATCTTAAATAAAGTAAAATTTTAAACATTGCGATCAAAAAGTTTATTTTTGCAAGCCAAACGTAAAAGCTCTTTAAAGGTGTGTTTGCAAAAGCACTATCAGATAATAAATTATTTTTTATTCCTATAACTTTAAATTTTTATTATTTTATATATACATTTTTATATTTAAATACACCAACAGCATTTTTTCATACCAATATTAAAAATTTAAAAATTTTAAAACATAATTTCCTAATCACATTTTTATTGTATTTAACTTTTTCAAACTGTAACAATCATGTTAAACTAAATTTAAGTTAATAAATATGTGTGTAAAAAAAAATATGATGGCAATTCAAGCATCGGATGAATGCGAAACTCTCTGGCAAAAAAAATAATAATAATAAAATTCAGGTCTTGTTCAAGTTGCTAACTCGTTACACGTTACGTATGGTCAGCTGTGGAAGAAGGCCAACACAATCATTTGCCTTGCTTTTGTTTATCTTTTAATTATATATATTCTCAAATTTTTTTACGTAAAGGTGGGATATGCAACTTCCCCCACTTTGGTCACTAAATAAATCAATAATTAAGGGGTAATTGTTAGATGTTAGTTAATATATTATTAAAGTTAACATTTAAAGATTATGATTTCGAAAAAATTTTACGTGTAATATTTATTTTAATTAGATAAATAGTAAAATTAAAAAAATTAAAAATAGATTAAAAAAAAAAAACTATCGATCGTTAGATGGCTTAACTAATCTTAAGACAAGGCATCTGCTTTGCTTGCATGAATTCCGAATTCTAATCCCCCGCCAGTCACGTGATATTTGGAAGAGTTCAGTTGAGTCATTTTTCTCCAATTGCACCTCCATTCACGTGTAGTTCACGGGTAAAGAATATGATGTTTTCCCCTTTTTGACAGCTTCCTTCTTGTTTGATAATGAGTTTTTGACACCTCCATTCACCAAATAAAATAATAATAATAATAATAATGATAATAATATTTTATTAAATAATAAAAATTAAAAAATATTTTATAAAATTTGTTTGTAAAGTTGATAATAATTTAAATCGGATTATATTCAATTTATGTTTTTCAGATATTAAATAATATTATGAAAATTTAAAATTTGATCTAAATTTTAGTTGTATTTTCATTAAATCTAAATCAAATTTTATTGATTTGATTAGGTTTGATTTATTATTTTTAATTTTTACTTTTTTAAAATTTATATATTATTTTAATATTAAAATTTAATATATTTAAATAAATTTTGATATAAAATTATTATTTTATTTTATAAAATTTAAAATATATATAAAAATTAAAATATATATATACTTCAATTTGATTTGATATTTTTTTATATTTTATATTACGATCTGAAATTTAATTTGAATTTAATATATATTTAATATTTAAATTTGATTTAAATTAAAAAAAAATTAATTCAAATCAAATCATTATAATTTCAAATTTATTTTTTTATTTTTTTTCTCGCCCCTTCTTGCTTGGATGGACTTTTGAATCTTAGAAATAGTTAGAAGTGTATTTTTTTTAGCTAAAATAGTTAAATTGTTAAACATGCCGAGCTGCGCGTGTGATTGTGTGAAATTGGTGATGGGATGGGAAATTTGAACGAGAATATCTATGCGGTGTGACCACCACAACACATAGCGCGTGAAAGTGGAACCCACGTCTACTATTTTTGGAATGTAAGATGGCGCGAGAGTCACGGGCCACAGGGGAAAGAGGGCAAGCAACTGGGCCTTAGCTTTTCCACATTTTGCTGGCTTCTTTTTCTTCTTTAAATGTTTCCCTGTTTTCCCATTCCCACCTTGATTAGCAGCATTACCTGCGCAAATTGCAAATCTGATGGCTTCAAATATTCAAATTTTGAATTAGATGAAGCTTTAACTCATTAATTTTATCAAAAACAAAATGATGACATCTTGATTGACATTTTCATATTTGATCATAAGATATTTGGTTATATTTTTATTATTATAGGTCAAAGAAATATTTTATTTATAATTATTATAATATAATTACTCAATCATAATTTAAAATTTTTTTAAATTTAAAAAAATTATATAAAATTTATATTTATAAATGATAAATTTTTACATAACTTTTTAATATAATTAAATAATTATAATATTATAATAAAAAAAATTATAGATAATATATTCTCACAAGCCAATATTTGAGGACCGCCGGATTTAGGGAGCCATTTGGTGCTAATTGCATTGATGTAACCTTTGGAAGGAAAAGGTTAACATAGGTGGGTCATGCAGTTTGGGTCACCTTGTTTAAGGAAGCTTGGCTTGAAGTGATTTGGATAATGGAGTTTAATTCTGATTAGGATTATTTTAGGTTGGAAAAATGAGATTTGAATCTTATTTTTTAATAAAAAAATATACACTAATTACTAAATCAAATATAAAGAATATATTGAGAAGGACTTTAGTTATAAAGTTCCTAAATATTTCAACCTAATACAAACAATAAAATACATACATGCACAATGATGCATGTATGTATGCATAAAATATGTATATATTCATGTAATACTTGATTAAATTGTTGAAGAATTTCAATAACGATCACAATATGCTACCTGTCGGATGATATAATATCAAATTCACACACAAAATCAAACACGTGATACTTAAGACTTGTTGCAATCTTAGAAAAAAAATGTTGGTCAAATTGTGAAAATAATTTTTATATTTTAACGGAATTTGAAATTTAATCATTTTATTATAATTCAAATATAATTCTTATATTATTTTGATTTAATAAATTTAGTTTAATTATTAATTCATTAATTTTTTATTATTAAAAATATTATCGTGATCATTGATTTAATGATGTAAGTGTTGACTTTGTTATATAATAATATAAATAAAATTAATTAATTATCAAATAATGCAATGTAAATAATTCTTGTATTCATATAAAATTTAGATTTTAAATTATACTAAAAAGATTAAAATTTAAATTTCGTGTGAGTATATAAATTATTTGCACAATTTAACAAGTAATTTTATTTATCCATATTGTTATGTTAATAAAGTTAATATCATGTCAATAAAGTTGACGCTTATATCATTAAATCAACATTTATGTCAATATTTTTAGAGATAAAAATTTGATAAAATTAATTATTAGATTAAAATTATCAAATCAAAATAATATAAAAACTATATTTCTATGAATCATAGTATGATTAAATTTCAAATTTTATTAGAGTATAGAAATCATTATCATAATTTGAACAAAAAATGAGATAAAAGGATTAGTAAAATGAAAAAAGGGTTTTTAGACTTTTCTTTGCAGCAAACAAGCAGAAAAGTTGACGAAGGCATCATATTTGCCACGATAAACAAACTCATTAGTGTTTTCACCATAGAGTCGATGCAAATAGTATAAAAATTGGGGTAATGTAGGTCAAGGACAGCAATTTTTAGTTTTTTCACCACTGAATACAATGAGAAATTAACAAGTAGTTGATAACTAAAGCTTGGTATAAATGGTTAAAGAGCTTGGTTCGATTTTTAAGTAAAGTTTTAATTTTGAATTTTGTAAATTAAGAAAATAGGCGACGAGAGATATTATTATTTTTATGAGATCTGATCCGATTTGATTTTGAATTAATCAAGATTTAAAGTAATTATTAAACATCAAAAAATTTTAAATAAAAAAAATTAAAAAATTTAATTTAATTAATTTATGTAACTATTTTAAATGACATTTAACAAGTCTGATATTCAAATCCAACTCATATAATCTTTTCTCTTGTCCCATATTTATTTTTAAAAAATTTCGGCGATGGGAGTCAAGTTATCAACAAATTCATCAGAGCTATATAAGAAAACGTAACAAAAAGTTGAAGTTAAACTCTGTTGTAAGCAACTGACGAGCTGAACAAACGGCGAATGTACACAATCTGAAGCACGCTTGAAGCAGCCAAAAAGAAATATTCGACAAGCGTATACAAAATCACACGTTTCCTTGTGCTTTCACTTGCTGCATTCACCAACAAGAAAGTAATTAGGTCATACAATTTTAGTTAGACTCTGTACTGTAATGTTAGATCAATCTTTCATTAGAAAATATGTAAAGGAGATCAGAAAACATACTGTATCGGTGGCGACTGTCGCGTGCTTTCAAATACTTTTGCTCGGCTGTAACAGACTCCAATGCCTCTCTTAGCTCAGCAATCTTAACATGTATAGGATCAAAATGTGCTGTTGAGAAGTTTCCACTTGACAATCAAGTTGTCATCCACAAATGTCACCATAAAAAAGAAGAAGAAAAATTGAAAAACAAACCATTTCTGGCAACGTCATTTTCATCCGGAATATGGCCGACATGAATGTAGAAAGCAACGGTTTCTGGAGTGGCAAGAGGATTACGAAAACAAAAATTGTAGATTCCGCGTCTTGGAGCTTTGAACTCGAACTTATCCCCTGATGTTCCTTTCAGAGAGTGCACAAGGTTACCGTCTGGAGAGGTTACCTGCGAATGAAAACCATCAGGATTACGATAAAGGATAAAAAGTTAAGTAACATATTACAATCAACAATCCTGGAACTTGGATTGCGGTATATCTTGCCATGCTTGAAATTCAATTACCCTTTGAGAGTGGTTTTTAGATCATGATTTTCATGCATATTTCGAGCAAGTCCAGCATGCAAAAACATAATCATCGAAAATGCAATTAATAAAAGTAGAGCTCACGCTGAAATCGATTCCAGGATGCTCGGAGTTCCAAAAAATTTCATGATCCACGACGACAAAGTTCCCAGATATGATATCCCCATCATAGAGGACAAGTTCGGACACGCATTCCACTTCAACTACTGTAATAGAAAGAGAAAAAACATGGTGGACAAAACAAATGAGAAGAAATGCTAAGACAAAACAGAATTTTACAGATACAAATCTGATAATTGTCTCCATTTGATTTTGTTTTTAATCTTTACTGTTTATTAGTTTTACGAGATTGAGGTCTAACAGTTTCTTTGAACGTTTTTAATGGATCTTGAATGGCACAAGTTGGAAAATAATGAAGGCAAGAAATTCGGTAATATTGTTTGTCATGGGTTCATTATTAGTTCCTCCATTTAGTGGGGTAAATGAACACTGTTCTTTGGAATAGTTCATGAAATTATATTTTCTTCAAGTTTTTAACATAAAAAATATTATAAAGTTATGATTCGGTCCATCGAGATTTCCCTTTTACGGAAAAAAAAAAAGGCTATTGAAAGTAAAACAAAGGCCCGACAAACCAAAATGCTATTTACAAGCGGATCAGTTAAGAAACAGAAGAAAGCCCTTAGGACTTCCTTCCCGCTCCAACGGCTAAACGCTCACACAATCAAAACCCAAGCTTTGAACTTGTAGCAAGAAAGCGAAAAAATGGAGGACTCTTAAGGAACGGAAAGATTCGATCAGCTTCCTGCAGCTGCACAGTTGTTCTCGCCTATTCTTCTGTTCTCTCAACCTTTTTCCCCTCCATTTGATTTTCGAGAAAAATTGGACCTAGCTTTTTTTTTTTTTTGCTATATATGCAGTGGCATTTGCTTCAATCTCAGTTCACTGAATTGTTTTCGTTTTTAAAGGTGTTCGTTGGATGCGTTAAGGGGTGGAAGGTTGTTTCCAAGTGGAATCCTTCTAATGGCGGCGACTTTGACTATTTAGAGGTTTTCTCTTCAATCCGTGCTTCTCCTTTTATAATTACATTAACTTTTAAACTCTGGAATTGTTTTTATGGGTTTCGTTTTTTATTTCTTATTTTCTTCCGAGTACAAAGATGTTTAGTTTAAATTATGCAATGAGTTTGAAATCCCAAAAAATGGCAGTAATTTCACATTTGTTGTATTTACATCTATGATCAATAAGTTAATTATTAAACAAGAGCTTTTGAATTATCACGAAAAACATGTTCGATTCTTGGATTTTCGAATTCAATTTTTATTAGTGGAATTTTGCAAATTACTTGATTCAATTAAAGTATTTATTTCATTAATTTTCTTGTTTATGAGAATAAATTTAGGAATGGGTAGGATCATTCATTTTGGAGGCTATCTTATCTAGAACTTCACCGGTGTTTTATGGTGATCTTAGAAGCCATGAGAGGGTAAATCTAACGTCCTCTGTATGTAGAGTGTTATGATGTCTTTTCTCTCTTGGATGACAGGACCGTGATTATTTTGTTTTTGCATATGTTTACAGGTTCCATTACCATTCTCCACATTTGATTTTGTAAGTGGAATAGGCAAAATGTTGGCAATTCCTGCAGCTTTAATTCTACTTCAGAAGGGCATCAAAAAGGAGAATCGGACACAGAGCAAGGTTGTTCACTATTTGTAGATGCTGCTCCACAACAAATCTATTTAGCCAAGAGCAGAATATTATCTTTGATTTCTTTAACATTATCTTTGTTCTGACCAAAAAGCAAAACTCTCTTTGGCAGTTTCGTTGCTTTGGAAACCCTGATTTTCAATTCATCCAAGAGCACAATATTCCATGGGATTCTCTCAGGAGGTTATTCTTCATGCAGGTGATGCACTTTTCATTCCTGAAGGAAGGTAAGGTTAAGCTCTTATTATTATTATTATTTTTTTATGAAAAACTAATGTTGTTAGCAGGCTTCCCTTAAGTTCTCTTTTTGATTGGCCCTTAAGTTTCAGGATAAGATTAATTCTATCTCTCTTCAAGTTTGATACACCTTAGTCATAAGTTACTGAGAGCATCCACCCTCTTCTTTAAAGTTATTTAATGATCTTAGATTTGATCGAGTGTACTCAATCTAGTGCTGTCAGTCTGGCAATTATATTTTGACTTCAGAGACTACAACTTAGACATATCCAGAAGTGATGTCAATGTGAATTTGTACAATTTTTTATGAAAATGGAAGGCAAGAGTGATCTTGACTAGGATATGAGGGACTGTACATTCAACAATACTTCCTAGCCAAATGTGAACTGTGCTTTTTCCCATTTACTCGGGCTGGTGGGTCACTTAAAGCATCATCTCTTTTTCTTCCATTTTTAAGATTGAGCACTCCATTTAATAATAATTGCTTGCTTTCAGGTTATTTGCACATTTGACCTAGAAGTCCAAAGGTATCTAATCCTATTGAGTGTGTTGTACTTGAAGGGAAAAAAACATGGAATCTTTGTTGATACAACCAATACTTCTAATCTATCCAATTTTCTCTCCCACCAGTTATGATAACTCTCCTTACCCATAAGAGAATTGTTGAATTGGGGAGCTAATCCCATTACTTTGATGCCTAAGCACTTTGATTTTGGACAATAGCCACCGTTTTAATTAGGAGTAAAGTAAAGTTCTAGGTGGTGCAAGTCAATACCTATATCTTTTGTGAGCTGACTTTTCTGTTGACAGCTTTTGTAGAGAATCATAAAATATATAGCGAAAGAGCAAAGCATATACTGAGAGGGCATCTGTTCATAAGACATAGTGAGTAAAGTAAATGTTGGGAAGGAGAATTTTAGACTTTACAAAAGATTTGGGAACTTGTAATGTCTTTTTTTTTTTTATGATTTTATTGAGTCAAGGTTGATTTGTAACTATTAAACTTAAATGTTGCCCTGTTGGTTTATAATACAAATAGCCATTAGAAGTTTTTTTTCCTCACAGTGTTTCTTCTACAGCATCAAGTTAGGTGATTTTGATTCCAATTGATACAGGTTCCACCAAGTAGATAGTGATGATTTGACTTTTGCTGTTAATTATTTGTGGCACTCCAGCATAATGTCGAGCCTGACAGACCAAATGGATAAGTATTATTTGTGCAGAATACTTAGAAGTTAGTAGCGGTTCATCATCTTTTAAAATATTCCATCTTTTTATCATTTGTCTTTTTGGCTATGAAAATGAATTTGTTAATCACTATTAATTTTGTAAGCGAACTTGAGTTTCTGTTACTCATGGAATGAACCTGTTATCTGAAGATTGACAGACGGAGAAATGTTATGTATACTGCTATGCCATTTGCTGCAGTTATGTTTTTAACTCTTGGTTGGCACGACACTCCTCTTGTCTGGTCATTTCGATATTCTATGATACACCATATGCTTCTTGGTAAATCCTTTTTTATGGATTTTGATTTCTGTCCAAATTATAGCTTTCTTTGAATTTTGATTGAAAATCTTATAGCTGTATAGAAAGATTGAATTTGTTGGTGGCAGATATAATTCTTCATCTGCTTATCTGAACCTCATTTAATCTCACCAATTCTTAGAGAGACATAAATCTTCAGTGCACTTTTGATATCTTATTGCTAATTGATTCTTGAACTAGTGTGGACTAGAATCATGATAGATGATGCATTATTGGTTCATGCAATAAACAGCAGTGTTCTTAACTTCTTATGTTTTACTGCTTATTCTGTATTTTTGGGGATTGAGATGTACTGCTGTCTCTGCTTGTTCAGTTGTTCCCAAGTCCATCAGCCACTGTGTTGTGTATTGTACTTTTGAAACTAGGACAGGACCAGGTACTTCTTGAGGGTTCTACTGCTATGTGGAGACAGGATATACCACAGCTGCCATGTAACAAAGGTTAGTTTCTGATAAGCATGCCAACTTTTGCCAAAAACAAGAAAAGATAAACATGCCGAGAAACCTATCTTATATTTTACTTAGTTGTGTTATCCTTTATGTTTTCTTTTAATTGATAAGGAAATGAAGCTGCTGATATTGTTTTGCAGCCATTCTTTGTGAATTATACTGGATAAGTTTTTATCAGATCATGTAGACCATAGCTTGGATCAGGCTAGTTGGAGAAAGGATTTAAAGGGAAAGAATAAAATGGCCTTCTTTTGTATGAACTGGAACCTTGTGCTCTCCAGGCTCTTCATGAACTAGTTACTTTGGTTCATGACCATGTTAATGCTTCTGATCAAAATCAACCAGTGTTGTCTACTTCAACAAATGGTTTGATGAGACAGATAAGCAAAATAAAACTTTAATGACAAAAATATTTCATTTTGAAGATAATCCAGCAGCTAAAATTCTCTGGATCCTGGAACTGGGCATCTTTCAGGATATGTTTCTTGCCATGGCGGTGAGTTTGCAGTCTCCTATAAATGTTGTTACACTTTTAGTATGTGCCTGGATTTTTCATTAATGTTGTTTTGATTTTTCTTGAATTTGAAAACTATTTTCCTGAGATATTCTTCCAGTATTATTATTTGTATTTTAAAATTGAAGAAGTTATGTTGAATCTTAATGGCACTTATTGAATTGATGCTTGTCCAAGTAAGGGTTCTGTCCTGTTTTAACACATGTTGCGGAAAACTAAATGCAAGAAAATTGAATTCTGCATGAACTTAAAACAATAGCGTGATGAATGCTTACCTATCTAATTTTATTCTAAATTGCCTTGTGTTCTTTCATTCTACCTTGCTGGTTTTCTTTGTTTCTCTTACATTTTTATGAAGGAATAGTTACCCATTTGTGCTCTATCATTTTCCAGCACAACTTCCCCAGAACTTTGGAAGCTCTAATATTACACTTGCTTTCACCAGTGGTGGCAGAATTCCTTACAGAAATTTGATGAGATAGATCAGCAGAACACCGAAGAAGATCGGTACATGTTAATATTTTTTGGAGTTCTGATTTAGGCTTCATTTGGATGGCTGGTGGGAAGGGATTCCCACTGCTCCATCATGTCATTTTGGGACTGGTCCCTATTAGTTGTTCTTTTCTATGTAATGGTTTTTGGCATCACTATGTTATTCATATTCATGGTTTCAGGAACAATTTCTACCAGGTCTTCTATGGTGTATTTGACAACCAATTTGTGGCAATGGATGAAATTCTAAATGGTAAAGAGTCATATGCATGCCAGGTGATGCTTTGACCTTGTTGAACTTTTTCTTTCAGAGTAGAATTCTATGGTTTCTGAGATTTGATACATCATCTGCACTGATATGTTTCTATAAGAAAAACCTTTCTGCTCAAATTCAAGTCCAATAATGTTTTATTTAAGTTTAATTTTCTTTTGCAGGTGTGGAGGGGGAGAGGTGTATGGGTGATTTGAGCTGATTGGAGGAATGCGATTTTCATCCTGAACTACATGATGGTTAATGTAAATAGTTTTCGGAGGAAATTCTATCAAGTCAGTCCACATTGTGCTTTACCACGACATGCCCATTGAAGTTGCATAAAACAATAAAAGAATTTATTTTGAAGGTTGATTATAGTCTTTCTTTGGTGTTATAGATTATTTTTCACATTTTTTTATCAGCAAGAGATTCAAATTTGTTAGTAGATGGGTGAGACAATGCAAACAACATGAAAGCTTGCTATGTTCATTCTTGCCATCCTTCCAGCAATTATAATTTCTTTTGCTGAGGTTTTTCAGTTACAAGGAAAGTGTTGAAAACCCTGTCCACTGCATGATTTTGGTAGATGAAAAAGAGGTCATCATCTGATTCTACTCATACTGCTCTGGATTATTTCAAATAAAGTTACTCTTGGGACCATTTTGCCTAATCATATTAAAGTTTATTTCCATGCATAGTCATCAAAACTGTGATTCTATTAGGTACTGTTTAAGGTATGTCTTTCCCTTCTTACAGCTACGCAGAACGAATCTAATTTAAATTTGTAATTTACTTCATTATAGTTTTCTAATCCAATTCACCTACGAAAAGCTTCACCCCCCCCCCCCCCCCACCAAACACACACACACACAAAGAAAAAAAAAAGAGGAGTCTTTAACTTTCCTTGTACCGGCACTCCTTTTCATTTTGTTCTTTATTCTTTTCCATCATTATATACTCAGGAGGTATGCTTGTTTATTGCTTTAGCATGTTATACAGTTGTTAAGTTGGCACAAGCTCACAAATCAAGATTATGCAGGTTGACTGTAAAATTCTTCAAAGCTTACCCAATAATATTTTAGTGCATCCGTTATGATGATTTTGGAATCTTGCTATGAGAAAATTGACAATATAAAATATAGAAAATTTTGCTGAATTATGGTTCATCATCTCACAACATAGATTAAATTCTAAACTTTGCATTCTTAGTCTTATACTTTTATATTGCAGGCATTCAAAAAAGGGTTGGATAAATACTTGGAAGGAAATTTTGATGTACCAAAACTGTATGTTGGATGAGACATCTTGTGATGCGTTCTTCTTTTGGGAATTGGTCCCATGGTGATCTCGAGATAGTAAATTGATGCATATTTCATCCCAGAAGCTTTCTGTCACAATCAGTACTTTTACATGTGAGTCATCAACAATTTTGTAGAATATAAATCATTGCTAATCGTGAATAGTGCAGCATATCTCAGTTACGCTTAGATGCTGTATGATTTAAATTACAAAGTTCTTCCCGTTGCCTTATCTGAATGTTCCATTAAGACTGTATGGCTAGCATAAACAACATGTTTAGGGAAACAATCTCTTTCATGAACTAGATGAAAATGGTAACATGATGGGGGATATGGTAATTAACTTGAGATAAGTATGCGCTTAATCCTGAAGTACCTTTAGGAAAAGAAAGCAGGACAGCAGTCTTCCTAGAATTTAACCACCCACACACAATGACAGCAACCTGCATTATTTTATATGTTTGAAATGGGCATTGAGATTGCCATTGCTAGGGACTTTACTCTATGAGTGTATTAGAAATGACTGTTAGTGGTGAGGCGATGGGATGCTATCATGGTTGTCGATCTCATTGTTGTAGTCCCTTTCTTTTAACTATCTTTTGCTAAGCTTCTATTCGCTAAATTCTAAAAGCTTTTAACGATGAAAATAGCAAGTATTAATGAAAATGGGCTTTTATAGTTATTGGCTTAAGCAACATGGTAGAAAGATGCTTTTTTACATATATAGGATTGTAGAAGCCATGCAAATATCTTTTTCATGTGCTCATTTGTGGTGCGAATGTTAATACTGATGGGGGTTGTAGAAAAGAGGGGATTTGCAGCAGAAGGTAAAAAAAAGAAGAAAAGCATAGAAAAAAGGGTTTGGTAATTATTAGGATTGGAAGGGAAGAAAAGATGGCAAAAGTAAGGTTTGTTGAGATGAGATTCCCTGATGGAAGATGACATATGCAAAGTTCTGTTGAGAGTGGGAAAAAGGGGGAAGAAGAGGGGAATAGAAGAGAAGCTTTTGGTGAGAGAGAAAAAAAAAAAAAAATGAGGCAGTCTTTTTTAGTATGCAAATGGCATGTATATCATGTATTGTACCTTAACCCTGCAACTCTCATATATACTTTCTAAAAGCTTGGATATACCTATAAGCACTGAACTTCTACTTTCATTAATCCCAAGGCTCCTCTCTCTCTCTTTTGTTGATATACTAACAAGGATTTGCCAGAATCTTTCTTTTCTTTTCTTTTCTTTTTTCTTTTTTTGTTTTATCAGGTTAAGGTTGTTAAAGAGTAAGGTGGCAATGAATTCGATTAATCTCCTAACAATTTGACTCACAAACCATTTGTTACCAAAGCAAAGTTGAGCTACTCTCTTTAACCTCAGTTGTTCATTTAACTCTTCAATCCCATAGTAAATATATATATTTTTTGTGTGTGTAGAAAAGTAATACCTCAAGTCAAACATTCAGATACAGATGATGGAATGGATTGGTGGGTCATGCAATCAAAGCAGGCGAAGCAGAGGCCTAACATTATTTGGACGTAATATCATTTAAGTTAAGTTGCCAACAAAAAGCTGCCATCTTGGGACATGCACAGAAATTGATAAAGGGTAATCAAGAAAAAAAAGAAAAAAGACTGAATTGTTGATTCAAGCTTTCAAAGTTCTATCCACCATCTTTTTCTTAACCGTTGACATTTTTTTCTTCTTCTTTTGGTTTAGTACCACTATATGTCCCGGACCACCAAAACACATGCACATTTTCACATAAACCATCATCTTAGTAAACCTTTTCACCCATGCTTACTCCAGGTTTTACAGCGCCCCTCCCCCACCCCATCTCTTTAGAAAAGCCCACTTGACTTCTTTGTATATAGTATTAATACATTTTCTTTCTTAGAATCCCAAAAGAAAATGATTGAGGGAAAAGAATTTCTTGGAAATTGATTAAACATCAATCTTTAAGTGGAATTCGAGGAAGTGTGAGGATGGAAAGAAAAAAAAATTGATGTGATTGAATTTGTAAAGAAACTATCACATATCATATGGTCTAGTCTGGCTGCCAATGATGTTCAAATTGAAACCAGTGGTTTCAATTTAACTTGTAATAGTCAAGAGATTACATAATGATCTATTATAGCTAGCAGTTTTTTTTTATTTTATATTTGTCCCCTCTTTGAAGTTTCTCTTTCTTTATCTTTTTCTCAATAGGTTGCTCTCCTTCCATGTGCAATTTCCACAAAACAAAAAACATGAGTTCATGAGTATTTGATTTTGCTTAAGGGTGTTTGGTTTGTGGAATTTGATATTTCAAGGGAAAGTGTGATCTACGAAAAATTGTGGATTCCTGGCAATGGGTAATTCTTGCCAGTTTCTCATTATTAGATTTTTTTGTTTGGTTGGAAAAAAGTCAAATTATTTAATTTTGTATTTTTTACTATAACATCTCTCACTACATAAAAAATATAACAATTTTTCAAGTAAAATAATCAAACATTAAAGACCTGTTTTAAAACAATTACATGATCAATTACTGTAATGCGGTAATCGATCATTATAAAATTTTCTGACTGTCAATTACTTCATTATAATTAAAATCAATGCATAAAAAAATTACAATGATTAATTACTTCGTTATAAAACAAAGGAACACAGTAATTGATAATTTGAGAAAAATTAAAATTATCAATTGCTACATTTTTTAGCCAATAAATGTATTAATTGACTATTTAAAAAAAAAAAGATTAATTGCTGTGTTATAAAACAAAATTAAGTAAATAATATCAAAAAATTAGAATTATCAATCAGTGCGTTTTAAAGCCTATAAATGCAATAATTGATTGTTTTAAAATAATTACATTATATTATTATTACCTTATAAAATATTATTTGTTGAGAGAATCTTTTTGGTTGAAAAATGGAATATTAAACACCATAATAACAACATTCCTTGATCAATGGGGACACATATAATCAGTCCATCAATCCATCATGCATGCTTGTGAAGGTAATTGAGTTTTGATGGAAACCTGCATCAATTAGCTTCACAAACAATAAACAATTATATTCAGAATCACGCTTTGGCATCTCAAACCCATTCAAGTATCTTGTGATTCATGGTGAGCAGCAATTTCTTCAATATTTATCTGTTTTGACTGCGACATTAGAAAATTGAAAATTTCAGAAGCCCTATCAATAAGCATTAGCATCCGAGGAAGATGTTGTGGCTCGTTCATGTGTTGTCATATGATAAATATTTAAAAAAAAACATGTGGACTATGAGTACTTGAACTAGGTTGGCAGCTGGACCTGGAAGGGCATGATCGTCAATCCCAGGAGTCATGATCTCTTCTCCTACTCCATCCATCCAGCTTTCGCTACCTGTATCTGATGGATCTGCTTTTTTGTGAATAGTTCTGTTGATGTAGACGAAGGGTACAATGGTAATTCTAATGCATGGCATTCCATGAAACGTGTAGTGTAGGGTCATCATCATCATTGAGAGAAGACAAGAGAATGCTCACATGCAAGATTGAATAATTAATGGCTGATGAATATTCTTTCACTTTTTACTTTTTTTTTTCTTTTTAATTTTCCTCCTTCAGCAAATACACTGTGCTTGAAAAATCATATGTTTATAATCCACTCCTTCACTTGCTCTCAAACAACTTTTCAGAGAATATTGGTATTTGATTCTAGTATATTTGCTTTCCACTTTATTACATCCGTTCTTTATTTAAATTCCTTAGTATTACACTTTGCTCTTGGAATTAATAAATAAAGTTTTGAGTTAATTTCCAAGATATTGATAATATCAAGCCTTGAATAGAATTTGTTGGTACAAATCATATAAATTCGACCCTCTTTGCATACTTACAAAGCGGTCAATTGACTATACAAAAAGAGAAGAGGGGCTAAGTCGATCTCAGAATTACGAAATATAAAACTTAATCTATTGTTATTATTGTATGGATAGAAGGGGAGGTTAGGAGGTGAGAAAAAAAATGAAAATTTGAGATTGATTCAATTTTTGCTATTTATAGTAAAAGAAACACTTCAAAGTAATTCAAACTTCTTGAGGGGTAATTCATAAACATATGTCCTTTTCTCCACTTGGTATATATTCTTTCTAGGAGTCCATCTCACATATATAGCTACTCAAGACAATGCAACTTAATTGTGAAAGAAAAAGATGGTAAAAATTTTCTTTAAAAAATTAAAATAAAATAAGACATCGAAATTTTATTTTTTAGCTTAATGTCCCTCCAATTGGATGTAGTAATTAAAAAAAAATTTGTGATCCATGTTATATGGCTATCATGATAAAGATATGACATTACTACAAAGGAAAATTAATTTGAGAGGTACTTGCATATAAATTTGCATGTGACATTTTTTCCTTTGCAAAATCATAACAATGCCAATACAATATCCACCATACATTCATACACCTAGCTACTAATGTATTTTTCCATGAAAATAAAAGAAAATGTGCATAACCAAAATATAAATATTTCTTTTATATTTATATATATATATATATATAAAAGAAGTCATAATTTCAAAATAGAGGAAGGAGTTGTAAATGTTGAAATTTAAACCTTAAACTTATTATATACTACTTAACTAGTTGTGTTAAGATTTAGATTCAGATAAAAATATTTGTCATAGGAATATAGCATTGAACACAAGTCCTAATATTAAATAAGGCAAAATTAATATAATCAAAATGCAAGTAAACTACTAAATTTTTTTTTTGGGAAATTTAAACTCAAAAGTTTAAAAAAAAATGTGAAGAGGAGAGGATGACTAGCTAGCTACTCCATGATTATATCATTGCCCTTCTTTCTCACTTCTCTTTTTTTTTCTAACAAAGGGAAGGGCATTGCTGTCATTACAAAAAGGGCTATCTCTAAAATATTATTTTAGCCTTTTTTTTTTCTTTATCCCACTGGTTTCATCAACTTACTTTTTTTTTTTTTCTTTTTTTGCCTTCAACAATCACCCCATGTTTCCGAGGCAGGCTCAGTGAATCCAAAACCTTGGGGCTTCAACAGCGAGTGGTCTCTCTCAAAGTGCTGCAACTCCATTCCCCCGGCGTAGTTTAGCACATCCCTCACGTTCATGCTAACGTTAGCATTCCCATTGCCACCACCATGATGGTGACGGTGATGGTGGTGATGGTCTCCAGTCAAACCTAGAAAGTCCCTGGTGAAACGGTCACTGCTCTTCTGCCACGTGGCCAGGTTTCTAGCAGCGAAACCCAAGAAATCCGGGGAGACTTGACTCGCCATGTTGTCATTATTGTTGTTGATCTGAGTGGCGGTTGCACCAATAGTGGCAGCCTTTTGGAGAAGTGCAGTGGCTGACAAGTGAGGAGTGGCCGACGTGGAAGCATTGGAGGGAGGGTTGTTGCTTACATGGAGGTTTTGGAAAGGTGAGGTGATCAGGGCCTTTGGAGGCGGTGGTTCTTGGAATATTAATGGTGAGAAATGGTGAGACTCAGGCTTGACATGAAGTGGGTTATTAGGGTTAGGGTTAGAGGCTTGAGTAGGGTCCCATGGTGGGTTGAGCAAGTTATGGGTTTGGAAAGTGAAAAGAGAAAATGGGTTGGGGCTGGCTTGGGATGAAAAATGATGGAGAGCTGGATTTGTGGCAGCAGAGGCAAGCTGGTTAGCTGAGAGTCTCGCACTTTCTTCAGCCAATGCATCGCAAAATGCTCTGTGAGTTATGAAGCTGTCCTTCCTGGAGGTTTCACGAGAAAGTTTACAAAGTCATAACAATTGCATTAGCAAAAAAAAGGAAAAGGAAATGACCCAAACAGTTTTGGATTGTCATAGAATTGCTTAGACATGGAGGTTTGACTATCCTCAATTTTGAAGCAAAGACAAAGTAAATGTAGGATTTTGACAAAATTAAGAGAGAATAGAAAGAAAAAGAGTATAGACTTTGGATCGTGCGTGCTCATTGGGTAGACTTATAATGCCATAAAGTTTACAGAAAAACAAAGGAGAAACTATCTTTGCTGGTCAAATGTAAAGGAGGAGAGAAGAGAGAGAGAGATGCATGACAGTTAATTGATGACTATGCATGCAAAGATGGCTCAAATTTTCAACAATTTGGTAAATTATGATGGATATTGTTAATATTTTGAAACTAGAGCTTCATGCATGTAACAAACATGTGCGGTTGAAACATGAATCTAATTGATGAATGGGGGAAAAAAATTCAGCCGTAGATATTAATTTTGCAGATTTATCAGTTTTTCATCATGAAAGTTTCAGAGTTTCTTCAGTGTTCTATGCATGTTAATAATAACATGCTACATGAAAAATTTTCTCAATCTCAAAAGCAATAATTATACTTCTTTTGCTTTTTCTTCGATACTCATCATTGTTTTTGAGACTGCAGTTCACTCCATTACAATGTACCAGAAGGAAAAACACAGGACAAAGAGCAACTCATGTCATAAGCCCTTGCATGAATTTTGTATGATAATAAATAAACATGTTTATCATACTAAAATATTGAAGAAACCGTGTAATATTCCCTGTTTATCATTAATATAGGTCTTAGAATTAAAAGTGGTGAGTACTCAAAACTCAGATCATCCTAGCAAGGAGGAGAAAAGGAGAATAAGATAAAGAAAAAGTCAAGAACGCTGTCAACAATGCAAGAAAAGAGGTACTGATTTCAGTTTTTGATTGTAAGATCACCAGTAACAGACACTTGTATTAATGGTGTCCACTTCGACGAAACGAAACCTGATGCTGCATTTATGTTCCAGTTATATTCTATGCATAGCTTACCACTCTTGTGTAAGAGAACAACTGAAAAAAACAAACCTACTAAACAAAAAACAAAAACGGCCCTAAAGACACAAGACTCCCACTTTGAACTAAAGACCAAGAGCTCTATGAATCCCCATTAGAGTCCAAAGTGATGAATGATAGCAAAGAAAAGAAACATAAAAATTTATATAAAGATGGGAAGGTTGGAAAAATGAGACAAAAACAGAAAGGTATAGAAAAGATCAAAAAGATCAAACAACTCAATTATGTGTTATTTTTTTTAGGATAAAAAGAAAGAACATAAAAAAAAATACCTTGAGAAAAGGGTTCCACAGTCACATCTGTATTCTCTTGTTCCACAGGTCTTAGAATGAGCCTTCCAATCTGATTGAACAGCATAGATCTTTGAGCATTTCTCACACTTCCACTTTTTCTCTCCATGTTTTCTGCAATAGTGTTTCTTGATGCCAGTAAGATCGCCTAAAGCCCTTGAAGGATGGTGGTGGACACATGTAGGCTCAGGGCAAACGTAGGCTCTCTTTTTGACCTCTTTGCTGTTTCTTTGCTTCAGCTTCCATGGAAGGTTATGGCCTCTTCTATGAAGCTGAAGGTTCTGATCTCTCTGAAAACCTTTGTTACAGATCTCACAAACAAACCTGTTGGTAGCCAATAGTGTCTTTGGAGATAAAGAAATCACTTCAGCATCTGGGTCTGTAACAGCATCAAACAGTAATTTAAAGACCCAAAAACGAAACCTAGACTAATCTAACGGAAAATTTGAAAGAGATGGAAAGAAATTAAGTCTACCTGGGTTCCCTGGGAGGTTTCTCTTCTTTTTAATTTTTTGTAGCTGCTGCTGAGGAGAAATGGTTGAAACTATAGGATTTAAGCCACCAAAGTCTTGAACTCTTGTACCCGAAGAAACACTAGCTTCCTCAGACAAAGAAGTAGAATTGGACATAACTGCAGGAAACATGCCTGAGAAGAAGAAAACTCCAAGAAGAAAAACAAGAGAAAACCCCAGAGACTAGTCTGATCTCTCTCTTTGTTCTTTTGATATCTTGTTCCACTTTATAATTAGCTCTTGTTCAAGAGTGAACACTCTGCACCTTTGAAAGAAGCAACAAAACGTAGAGCACCAAAGGGTAGCCCAGAAATAGAGAATCCCCAGCCCTGGACACAAACTAAACACAGCTTTGTTAATAAACAGGTGGCAGTGACATGTAGATACAGAAAGGCATCATTCATTGGTTGGCAAAAGAAAATCTCGTGAAGAGATGATGATGACGATGATGGGTTATTCTCCATGTCGCTATCTAGCCATGGATTGCTTGTCTGAACAACTCTGCAACGCAATTCAGATATATCTCTTTTTCCTCTATCTATCTCTTAGAGAGAAAAAAAAAAAAACCATCAAAACCTGAGGAGCTCTTCACATGCAATTAAAACACGAGGAAAATACAGACAATAAGATGGTTTTTCTTCTAAGCCTCTCTACTACCCAATAACCCTCTCCTTTCTATCCATTTATGTGTATAAAAAGATTCACAGATAGATTGAGAGAGTGAGAGAGAGAACAAAGAAAGTTTCAGTAGCAGGGTCCTCTTGACAATAGAGTAGAGAAGGTGATGATTACAGTTGCAGACTAAAAAAATTCAAATAAATAAATGAAATTCCAGGTGAGAAAACAGGCTAAGAAATCCGAGGAAAAAGCTAAGAATTCTACAAAGGGAAGCAAGAGGGAGGGGGCAGCCCACTTGATTCAGAAAAAAGAAAAATTCTCTCCAATATTATTTTAATAATAATTTATCTTTTGAACTCTGACGTTGGCACTTTCTGTCTTTTCCTTTGTTCCTGTTATAAAACACCCAAACCCTAAAAGGGGCTTGATTTGTATGGAATGATAGTATTAAAAGTAGGGATTGCTTTGCTTACCACTAGATGATCACTTAGAAGAATAAGAAGCTTAAAAAGGGTTTGTGGGGTGGTAAAGGCAAAGGGCTAGTTTGAGATATAGCCCTTCTCTTAAGTTTCTCAACCTTTTCTCTATTAACCCACAACTAACATGATTGATCAATTGATTCGCTGTCATCAGCTTGTAAACCATACACTAATGTAAGAGCAAACTACTATGTTCTAATACATTATTTGAGAAACATATGCTTTCACTTGTTCAACAATCTTCAACTCATCTATCAATATTTTTGGCTTGTCTTATTAAGCTTTCAGATTATATTTTTTATATATATCATAATTAATCTCGTCTTTGCATCATATCCACAATTCTCAATGATTAAAAAGTTATATATTTTTAATCAACGATCACTAATTTATTGTTAAAATATTAAAATTTTAATTTCAATAATCAAAATTTAATTTTGGACAATCTCACGTATCTAACAAACTACACACTTGTAGTTATTAGTAGCTAATAACATTGTCCATTTAAATTTTGGAATCTTAAAGAATATCTTTTACATTCCACTATACAAGTGTTTGACGATTTTTATCCCCTTTCTGTCTCTCTTTCTTTTGTTATTATTATTCTATCACATCCCTAGTGTGTAGTGAAAGTGCTCAAGCAAACCCCACCGAGGAGAATTTGGAAGCCCTCTCTTCTTTTTCTATCCCTTCTTTATATAACTTTATTTATTCCAAACCCAAATGTGAAGCATGGGAAGATATTATCAAATTGACGGTTCTACCCCTTTCATTTGTCCAAATCAAATAACACACCTAAGGGGTTTTTTAAGTATTAGTGGATATAATAGTAATTGCATGTAAAAACATAAGGGGGGAATCCCTTTCTTTAAAGGGCATGCGTGGGCTAAACATGGCATTGGTAGCTCTTTAGTCCCAAGGCAGAGATGGGGGCAAGGGAAGGCAGGCAGCAAAGTGAGCAAACCATGCAAACCAATCCCCATTATCATAAATAATAGACGTGTGTAAGAGATCGGACCCTTTTTTTTTTTTTTTTCATTTGCAGAGACCCTTTGAGAAAACAAATTACATGATCACCTAAATCATGTTGTTGTTCGTGCAGTATTGTAAGTACTTTGGAATCCTATGTGATGGGCAGGGATTCTTATGATAAGTAAAATCTATTGAATCATTTGGCTTTTGAGTGAGATTCATGCTCCTTTTCTTTTTGGATAAGAAGAGATTTATGCTTCATTGATTCACCTTTAAGGCCGGAAAGTCTTTTGTGTTTGCTTGGCATGTATACTACCACCACCATTTAACAAAGCTATATCTGCTTTCTAATAATGTGGCTTTTTTGCAATAAAAACATTATAACGTTTGCCAATTCATATATTTTGTTATATTTATTTTGTGTTAAATATGCAAAAAAAGATGAAAATTATTATATCACAATTTATGTTAACAAACCAAATATAAAACAAATTTTTTTTTTTTTAACTCAATTTTTACTAAACTTTAAAATTCTATCATTTTCATTTCTTTTTTTTTGTATTATTTTTATATCGTAAATAAAATTATTAATCTTAAAGTTACTAAAAGACCACATTTTTAAACTTAAATAATAATGAATTTAATAAATCAGTTAAGGCAACATTATATGAATGATTATCTCAAGTTTTAGCCTAATGTAAGATAGTTTAATAAGGTATATATAAACATGCACATGTTGTAATTTCTGGATTTGATTTTTTTCTCTGTCCAGTTGACCAAAAGTTCATTGTCATAATAAAACAATAAAAGCAAAAAAAAAAAAAAAAGGGAAATAAGAAACATTAGTTTGGGACAAGAAGTAAGCCTAAAATATGAGCTTTGTGACTGGTAAATTGACCAAGAAGGAAGACAAACAAATGAAAGCCCCATTTGGCTGACTGGTTATAAAATCTTGAAGTGGTAGAATACAAAGTAATATAGGGTGGTCACTGATCTAAATATTAGTGATGTAGTCTTTTGCAAACCTAACTATTGAATGTAAGATTCCATTTTAAAATCTTGACTACAAACAATTGCCTAAAATCATTAATGACGGCAACAAACCAATGGAACTAAATTCGAATTTTGTGTTTTTGATCTTAAAAAAAAGTTCCCACCAATTTGGGATTGGCACATATGTCACAGAATTTAATCTCTGAATCAGAATTCATATGAATTTATATCCAAATCTTGGAGTCATATGAACATAAAAATTGAGTCTCGAAACGTGACACATGTTCATTTTTATTGGTCAAAATCTTGTCAAAACAAATAAAGTATAAAACTTTTAGGTAAACCCAATTTTGGATTTTTTTATTATGATAATTTAATTATAAAAACTTATATTTTAGTTACTAACGATTGAGTAAATTTTTTTTTTGGTCACTTAATTGTTTGGAAGCTAAACAATTCGATGACAAAAAAAATCTCTCAAATATTAGTGATTAATACATAAATTTTTTATAATTGATTAATCAAAATAAAAGATCCCTAAAACTTAATGACTATTAGTAGAGTTTCTCAATTTTTTTTTTCACCTTTTCAAGATATTCAAGTACTGGTGCAGAGTTATGATAGCCATCTGCTAGTAGTGTTTCAATTGGCCATGCAATTTTCTGATTCTGATTCACGGGTTCTTCTATTGCCAGATTCTCGCATGCAGTTTTGGCTCTTTTGCCCCGCAATGGCAAAAAAAAAAAAAAGTGTATTCAATCATTTTATCCTTTTTTTTATTTTTTATTTTTTAAATTTATTAAAATTAATAATTAAAAAATATGTAAAATTTTTTAATTTTACATTAATCCCTCCTCATAAATAAATAAATAAATATATATTTAAGCAGTGGACCAAATTTTTGGGTCTTTTTTCTTATGTTTTCTTGGAAATTTTGTTGTCATTTTCTCCTCTGTCCTTTTATCTTATCAAGATTCTGTTACCCAAATTCATGTATTCATTTGACATTCTAATAAGTTCAAACATTGTTACTCTTAAGGCACATTGGTGCTTTTTATAAATGAGTTAACAGTTCGAAGAAGAGGTCATAAATATTAAATTTTGAATTTTCAACTTATTGAATGTTATTTTTATAAAAAAATTATATAAACAATTAAACTAAAGTAAATTTTGGACTTAGAAATGTTGACGTTTTAACTATGTTGGATGACATACTAAATTAAGAATGTTAGAAAATTAAAAAAATAAAAGTAAAAAACAAAAACAAAGTAATCCTCCTACTCTGAATTGCATTGTCTTGCTATGACCAGTCAAACTTAATTTTTTTTCCCATCTCTGGCTTGGTTCTATGCTTACTATGTATAGCAAGATCATTGATGGTACCAGATTTCCCCTATTGAGTAAATAGCATGTTGCCAAATCGTTGCCATCCAACATTTTTAAAGTTTAAATAAGCTTTTAAGGTTAATAGCGAGTGTCACAATTAATGAGCTATTATTATAATTCATCTCTCTGTTTTGCTAGGAATGATAGAATAAGAAAAAAATTTTAATCTAATAGCTCAATTATAAATTAATATTTTTTTATTTTTTAAATTTAAATTTTAGTTAGTTAAATCATATATTCATCTTAAAAGATAACATTTAATAAATTAAAAAATTAAATTTCAACACATTTAATTTGTTTTTATTTTCAAACTTCTGTCTCTTTTATAAAAAAAATTGAATAACATGATTTTATAAATTTTAATGATTTGATTTTTTTTTTTTAATTTTTTATCAAAAAGAAGCCAACTACAAAACGCTTGAGGCGAGTATCAGCAGCTTTATGGTACGTAGTTGAAAGGTCTTTCAAGTTTCAACAAAAACCCTATACTAATAGGCTTTTGAATTATGGAGACCACAGGCAAGAGAACTGAGCTCCACCTGTTCTGAAAGTTGACCAGTTGAGGCCTTAAAATTTAGAGCCCAAAATATCAGGAGGGCCCATTTAAGAGGTACCAAAGTAGGGCGGAGGACGATATATGGGGCCCACATTAATAATCGTGACCTCACGAGATGGTACTGCCCACATTAATGATCATGCGCTCTTCAACCCTTCACCAATCACCAACTCCCCTCCCGTCTAACTCTTCACGAATGTTGATTAAGCATAAAATAAAAAGGTTGTTAGATCGAATAATTCTTAAACTATAATAAAATATGTAATATAATACTTAAATTTTTAAAATTTTAATGTAATATTTAAATTATAAATTTATAATATAATACTTAAAAATTATTTATTCACCAAATGTTCTTATTTAAAATTTACCTCATTAAAAAAATATTATATTAATTAATAAATTTATAAATCAAATACCATGTTAAAAATTTTTAAAATTACATACCCCATCTAATATTTTACTAAGATTATTTATGACACTAATTCAAAATAAAATAATAGAATTCCTGTGTGGCAGTTATGGAGCCAAAGACAATAGGATGGGTCCTAGATCACAATTACGCACTATAATCCTTGTGACCAGCCCACTGGAAGGATTTACCTAACAAAATCGGAAGAAAAAAAATGATTTTGTGATTGGACTTGGATGATGGCTTGATCGTCTTGACCATGAAATTAGAGATTTTCTTTTCTTTTTTTTTTTTTTTGTGCGTTAGGGTCATGGCACCAAAAAGAGAAAAAAGAAAGTGCGACATACGAGTGCCTAAATGAGATTTTAATCATTGTGCTGAATAATGTTATGTTCGGTGACTGAGTCACGGATGAGAAGAGAAAAAGAAAAGAGCAGAAGTAGGACCACAGATCATGAGCATTATGGTAGTAATGATAATGATGACATGATTACCAATTTTTGGCTCCTTCTGTTCCCTCCATCCACCGTGCTGCTCCTGCATTGCCGATGAGTTAGCACCTAGCATAGATATGATATGAATATATATGAAAAATTAAGAAAAAAATAAACAAATAAAAGAGGTAACCAAACTAGCTGCAACCAAATCAATAATTATGAACAAAAATTGCAGAGCTATTCCAAAGAGAATTTCCATGTTCCCTTTTTTAGAACCGATATTAAGATCCCCAAGAAGAAAACAGGGAAGCAAAATGCAGTCACCATACAGAACAATGGTACTCAGATGTTAACAGTTATAAAGC